TATATATATATATATATATATGTATATATATATATATATATATATATATATATTCAAGGTATTGAATGTAATATAATACGTTATTAAGATAATTAATATTTATTTTGGTTTGACAGAAAACAGTTTGTTGATGATTAGTAGTTTAATTATAATAGATAGATGGTATGTACGTGTTGCGTCTTAAATCATTCACTGCTGACAATGCTTGGGGGTCTGATAACATTGGAATTGTTTGATCTTCGTATTCACTATTATCACCCAGAGCCACGGAGCTATTAGCATTTTCAATGAGATGTTCAATCAATAGTTTGCATCTCGTGCGGTGGCACATTGTCATCGATGGAAGAATAACCAGAATAACAGTATCACAGGTCCCTATTCTTCTAACACCAAGTCAATAACGGGGTTAATTCGGAAACCATTGCTACTAGACACAATATAAGCGGCGTGTGATGGCGAATTAAATGATATGAGAATCGTATTAAGCCTTAAGAAATGTATAAAAACATGACACATGTTGCAGGGACCTACGTAAAATGGTGTATTATGCGAGAAATCGTGTTAAATGTGATAGTATTATCGGGATTCAACTATATACAGTTTTTTAATTCCCACAGAGGTCGGACGAGGTCGCGAGCAATAGCTAGTATTGTATTTAAACTGTATTGCATTATGCCACACCGCAAACTTCATACATTTCTTGAAAATTTTCTTTATTTACAAATATGATGCTCGATAAGTCAAGATAAGTTGTTGTTTCTTCGCCGTCGTCCAGATTTAGGTTAGGTTATAGACCACGTTGTCAGCTTGTAAGAAGAACAATATGAATTGAGTTTCTTGAATCCTACAATAAGCCCCAGGAGGCTCTCGGGCGAGGTCGAGGGTCGGCCGGCGGGAGCTGCGGATGATCCATTGTGTATCGAGTGGGCCAATTCTCCCATTGAACCGCCACTTCTGCCGTCCGCCGTGTAAACATCGCGGATCACATTTCAATGTAAAGGAAGATTTTGGATGCGGTACTTTTCAATACCGCACTATTTTTTTGTAAATTGTGTTCAAAAAAATGAAGAAAATTTTTAAAAGAAAACAACATTGTTATGACATGTGCAAATATTTTGGGGTTTCATTTAGTACTAACTATTGTGTTCTATGATTTATGTATAATATTTTACCAAACTCTCGGCGATGGGATAGAAAGTGCATTTTTGTATAGAGAAAAACATCTGTCAGAAACAATCACGTAACATTATATTAATTGATTTATGACATCATGATGACAATAATAGTTACATATAAAATAAATGTATGATGAGGCAAGGCGAGGCGAGGCGAGGCGAGGCGAGGCCGGGTGTTGCTGGCATGGCATATCGAGAATATAGCGCATCCATTGCGCTTGCTTAAATCGATGTAAACTACAGACAGAATTATTATTGTGTTTTCATTTACCCGTCGGGCTGAATAGCGCTGCGTGCGTTTTTTGCGGCATTGTGCGGCTCCGAGCTCCGAGCCCCGACTCTCTTCTATCCGGCACTCGAACTCAAACGCTGCTGTGAACACGAAAAATGCGGTGCGCTGTCGACGGGTTGACGCTCGGGTGTGTACGCGCGAGTGACGCGTCGCGGACAAGTCCTCGCACATCGAACGGCGCCTCACTAGTTTTTTAGTCGAGTTTTTCGTGTATTTCAGCAAAATGGTGAGTTTTGTCAAAAAGTTACCAAAGACAAAATTGTAGATTATAAAATTCTCTAATATAAACCCATACAAACTGTTTATTTATTATACATGGACAGATTGACTCGACTAATATATCATCGTACAGCCCAAAACACTAGACCTAGAGGCTTGAGATTTCGCATAGATGCTTTTCTGACTATATTAGCCGAGCAACAAGAAAAGATTTTACGAAAGTCATCCCCTATAAGACTAAAGTGAGGGGTTGCACTTTTATGTGGAAGAAGAGGAATGACTCCTACAGAAGAAACACTTGATAATTCACAAAAACACGCTACAATATCATGAAATAAGTATCCTCTTGTGGGTTTTTGAAAAATTATTTTACAGGGCGAGAAAGTCGCGGCCGCCGACTAGTTAAAAATATGATTTTTTTTCTGTTTGAACCGTTCACTGTTATATTTATTCTATGTGGAAATAAATAAAGGGCAATGGTGCGATAGCTGATAGATCGCTAATTTTAATGTCGTCTCCTTACAAATTTTCAGGAAAATATTTCAAACAAAACATACTGAAAAATATCAGACTAATACATATAATATGTCTATGAAAGCCGAA